GTCATAGAGCAATACTGTCTCCTTGTACAGCGGGGAAGTGCTGTGGGAAAGGCTGACAGTCAGACTGTCTTTACAACAAAAAAAAAAAAGTCACCCCGCCGGAGCGCACACAGATTAAACAGGTGGAGTGCAGAAAAAATAATCTGCTAAGTGTGTAGAAAGGAATAAATACAATTTGTTTTACCACCTTAAAACGAAGCAGGTGATTCAAACAGAACATCCAATGGATGCAGATATCTATTACATTAAAGTTTAAGTGCTCCAAGTTTCTATTACATTAAAGCGTATATATATATATATAGATATCTGCATCCATTGGATGTTGTGTTTGGAATCACCTGCTTCATTTTAAGGTGGTAAAACAAATTGTATTTATTCCTTTCTACACACTTTGCAGATTACTTTTTCTGCATTCCATGTGTTTAATCTGCGTGCATTCCGGCGGGGTGACAATCATCCCATTTATGCTTTACCTTATTTATTTATTTATTTTTGGAAAGACAGTCTGACTGTCAGCCTTTCCCACAGCACTTCTCCGCTGTACAAGGAGACATTATTGCGCTATGACCGCAGGAGAAACGAGGTCCAGACTCAGAGAGCTTTTGTGAGTCCTGGAGCACTACTTCACCTGCACTGACAGTCACCTCGCTGCGTCACCATGTGCTGCGACGCGTGCTCGTCCCGCTGCAGGCAGTGTGGTCGTTCGAGGACGCGCCGTCACGTAAACATGTGAACAGTTCGGCGTTCATTTTCACACACCCGAACCAGGTCCGGATAAGTTATGTTTTTTTTCCCCTCTTCATTTGCGCTCTCAGCCATGCTGCTTCCCATTTCCTCTGTTTTGACTCCAGCCGGTTACATCATCAAAAAGAATTGCGCGGTTGGCCGGCAGACTACAGATCTCTATCATAGGACAAATTTATGTCGTTTCTACCGTATATCGTTTATACCGCGCATTCCTAATAGTCAGGATCGGTATCGGTGGCAGATTTGGCCATTTTTTGAAAATCGGATAAAATTGGATTTAGTCATGTGATCGGACTGATCCAGTTTTCGCAACAGTTTTCAGCATCATCATGCTTTACAACTGCCATTAAGAAGTCAAGACGTAGGCAAGTATGCAACAATGTCCACAGTGTGGGAACACTTCAATGGAGAACACTGATGCTGAAACTGCATCTTGCAAAATCTGCAAACTGGATGTTTCTCATGGTGGGAACAGCAGGGCTTGCAGGGTTTCCCCTAGGATTTTTTTTAACCGTGGTGGTGGTGGGC